TAATTGATCCTTTTTTTGTATTGAAGTAATACAAACATGATCTGGCAACTCGGATGGCGGGCGTCAATTGAAAACTTTAAACGAGACTCCCGGACAATCGCCTTTTTGGGTTGTGACACGGCAGTTGTTTCACTTCTGTACCAACTGGCGCCAGTTAGAAATACCAATCGAAGCCAAGTCCTTCTCCGCCTGCTCTTTGCATCGCAGAGGAGGCCTTCCTCTTGTATATTTTCAGAGCTGGAGTGTTAATGTTAATATGTACGACTTGGCCAAGCCAACCGAGCCGCTGTATTTTAATCCGCCGAACTATGTCTATATCATTGTAAAGCTTATACAGCTCATCGTTCCATCGTCTGCGGTATTCGCGACCACCAACGTCTGTAAATTTTCCGCAGAATCTTTCTCCTGAAAACTCCAGAAGCCGCCTAAACAGATGTTTTCATTGTTCATGCTTCTTCGTCGTACACTTATAGAGTGAATGACTAAAGAGTGTGATTTTTGTATGACGAAAGAGGACTTTACTTCCCAATTGCCTAATAAGTCCAAAGAAGCACCGGTTTGCAAGAGTGATTCTCGCTTGGATCTCTACGTGGGGAGATCTACACATTTACTCCACCTCCGAAGAAGCTTTGTTATAGCAGCAGTACACTCGAAGATTTGCCATGGTCTGCGTGAATTTTTCGCTGATCTCTATTGGTTTTACTTTTGATATTAAAAAATTTTACTTATTTTATTTTGTTCTTTTCTAGATAAAAGCTATCTTTACTGTTAATAGTTTTATTGAATTTTTTGTTATGACTTCATACCAACATACAAATTTTCACTGTATGAAAACTATGTAAAATAAAACCGGCTTATTCGGGGTTTTCTTAATTTCTAAATCGGAAATCGTTTTTTGTTTCAAATTGCAATTTTTAGAAACCTGAAAGCCGTGTTTGGAAAAAGGCGAATAGTCAATCGAACACCTTCATTATGGGGGTGTTCTGACATTCAGAAACAATTGGTTCCGCATTGAGACCATTTCAAATTTCAGTTAGCTGAAAAAATATTACCAGCTTCAGTGGTCATGGCAACACTAGCGTTTTATAAAAATCATCAACATCAGTCTCAAAGGGATTCAGTAAATAGCGCATTTCAAGTTAATTGAGCACTCTCTATTGGTTACAGCAGAAAATTGAAAAGAGGTATAGATATTACAAATTCCAAAAAGAAAAACCTAAGAGGGTACCCCCTTTTTCTACGATGATGTTATTTCTCACCATACAAAACTTGGGTTACTCCAATGTATGTACATACAAATTTACGCCGCCTCAAAAAGGAAAAATGCTTTCAATTAGGGATGGAAAAGTTGACTCTGCCTTTAGTAAAAAAATCGAATTTCGGGTAACGAGTTCTGTGGCCTCAATTCGAATAGAATCGACCCCAAGTCAATGTTTTTTCGACTTTTGTCTACTAAATATTTGATGGTAACATTGCTACCTCATTTTTAAGTTTTAACATCCTATTGCAGTAGTGTAAAAGCATTGCTGTTATTTCTTTAATTAATATTTTTGCATTATAAAATATTATAATTTTAGGTACATTACTTAATAAAGGCAGTTATTATCTTCTTTTATAAATTTTCAAATAGTCATTTGAAGTAATAAAGTCGACTATCAGAGGTGATTAATCAACTTTAAGAATCGAAAGCCTGAAAGCCTACCCAAAAATCGACTCTGCGTGCGCCCTTTCCATCCCGAGTTTTAATGAGAAGCTATTTTATGGCAGAAATGCATGCAGGGATTTGCCGTTGCCATTAGAATTTGTTTTAATATTGCTCCAATAGGGTGGAATTGGGAACCTCTAACCAGTCCACCACAACGCCACAATTGTTTAATTATGCGACTTATAGGACCGGTGTACAGCGCAAGAGAGGGATAACAGTCGATTTATTATTGTCACGAGACCTTGACATTTTTTTTTTCAGTTTAAGCTAGCATGGTATTCCCTAGTGGCTGGTATACTTCAATAATACATTTGAAAAATTTTCCAATGCTGTATTACGGTTAGGACACCGTTGTGAATACCCCAATTAATAAATTACGTAGTTGGATCATATCGGAATCCAAAAAAATTTAAACTGTATGTAGTAAACTTTAAACGCCTAAAAATATATTAAGGGGGTTCACAAAGCACCATCAAAACCATATTATGCATTTTCACAGTGTTAAAAAGCAGTTGGTTGTGGTTTCAAGTTCTTTAAATATTTGTTTAAGCTTTTAAAGTGTACGACATACAACAATACTACACTTACGACACCGTTGTGAATCCCTCAAATGTGTTTTGCTAGTCATTTGAGCTAATTGCATATTAATTAGGCTAATGGAAAAACAAGCTTTCCTTATCAAATAACAAAACAATAATGAACGACGAATTTGCTATCCTGTTAACTTATTGTATGTAAAATAAATACACTTGCCGTTGGGCATAAATACATATATACATTAGGGTGGTCCTTATTTGTTTGAAGCACATGTTTACATCAGATTTCCTTAACCTCAACCCCTATGTCCATGCTAATGTAGTCAAAGATATCACATATAAATTTTGGTCCCGATCGGAGACGGTTTAGTCGTGTCGCACAGTGGTCAAAGTTCAAATTCCTCTATGGGGACTCAAAAAATTAAAATAAAAAAGTAAAAATACATATATTAAACAGATATTTTTATAATATTTTTCCGCCTATGTACTATGTCTATATCGTTTAAAAGCTCATAGAGCTCTTCGTTAGATCGTTTGCAGTATTCCAATGTTCGTTGCCAACGCGTAAAAAAATTGTTTTTATTTAATTTTAATTTTTTGAGTGTTCATAGGGTAATGTGAACTTTGACCTCTGTGCGAAACGCGTTAGCCGTCTCTAGTCGGGACCAAAATTTATATGTGATATCTTCGACTATAGTAGTATCGATTTTGGGTATATGATGAAAAAAATAATAATTTTAATTTTTACAGTCTCCACAGAGGAATCTGAACTTAATCGACTCCAATCGGGACCAAAATTTATATATGATAATTTTGGCCAATGTATTACAGATTGAGGGGATGAGACTGAAACAAATAGTTGATTTGAATTTTTAAGGACCATCCTAATGTGCATAACCAATGCACCTCTATGATGGTACATGGAAAGGGTACCATGACATAACTGCAACTGGCATAGCACCAATTTAAAAAAAATGGATTTATTTCACGCCTTATACAGTGACAAAAGGCCAATTTTTTTTTACTTGGAGCTATGTCACTTCTTATAAAGTGTCATAACCCCAATTGGGATAATGTCACTTTTGAGAGTAAAGCATATTTCCAGCTCTTAAGAAAAACAAAGAATTATAATGAGAAATAAAATTTCTATTCACATTTTTTGGTCCATTTACAGCTCTTTAGAAATATATATTGCTAGCTTATACTATGTTCACGTTGAACCATAAACTCGAGTTTGAGGTTTTGTTTTATGAACAACTGTCAAGTATTCTCATTGGGGAGTTTAAGAAACTCAGAGTTTAATTTGACAGTTGTTTGTTTACTTTTTATTATTCACATTTGTCCTATTCCCGTACTCCAGGATTAGACAGAAGTAGTCCGAACGTGGTCTAGAATACCAACCGTTTAGCTATAAAAAGGCAAAAATGTGGCTCGATAGAACTTTTCATACTTATTTCAACCATATCAACATCATTTGGAACAAATAAAAACCAAGGCCAATAAAAGAGGTTAAAATTAAACTTTTATATTTCTTATATTTAAAAAATCTCGGAAACTATTTGACCGATCACAAAAGTATTGATGCTTATTTAAACATAATTTAATTACCTTTTACTCGACGTAAAACAATTTTTAAATAAACACCATTTAAAAAAATATACTTATATATATTTTTTTTGTTTTGAAGTACTTCTGGCTTAAAAATATAAATAAAGAAAGAAATTATGTACACAATGTGAAAGGCCCATTAATTACATTTATTTAGACATCATTCGTTTTTAATAGGTTATGTAGTTCAAAGGATATTAATATTTAAAAGAATCAAAAAAATTAATTTCAACCATTGGTATTTTACTTACATATGTAAGTACATTGATTTTTTTACTTCCGCCAAATAATTTTGGTATGTAAATTAAGTCGAGAAAAAGCGTTGCATTCCCATAAACCCAAAATATAAGTGGTGTTTAAGGCGAGTTAAACTCCAAAACGGCCCATAAGCTCGTATTAGAGTGAAAAATTGCTAAGTCGCATTTTAAAAATTTTACAGAAAAAAAATTTTCTTCAAGTATTTCGCAAAACTTTGAATTTAACATTTTAGCTCTTTAAACAGAGTGACAGCTGTTTGATAAAAATGCCTTTTATCATTACTCTTGCACATTCCAAATTCTTTTGGTTTGCTAAATTACATAAGGGATTTGGAGGCTGATCCGCTTTTCGTTTGGAAACATGTCACTCCTTATATAGTGACATAACCTCAAAGTAAAAAATTGGGTCACTATACAAGAAGTGACATAATCCCAAATTTAGATTTTGTATCTTAATAAGTGCAACGATAATTGAACTACAGATTAAATTTTAATGACCATTACATACATTTGTACAATCACAGCTCAAACAGCTCCAACAGTCGCAATAGCCGACTGCGTACAGCACGTAATATTCCTGACGAAATCAGGCGGTTACCAAAATCCAAGGCTATATTCTAAATGCGAACCGTCCTATGCAAGGCGCATCAATACAAGGTAGTGTTGATTGATCAGCTGGTTGGATATTTTTGTCTCTACACTAGTACAGAAGAATGTCATCCAAGACGAAGTGGCGAAACTTTAGGATGTCAACAAAAGAAAATTATGAAAATTATCTCCTATTTCCTTTCGTTTTGACATCCTCCTGTACCAAAAAGCAATAACAAAATACACGGGACTTTTACTTATATGCAATCAACACCACCTTGTATGGATGCGCCTTGCGTCCTATGCAAATTTAAAATATTTTTTGTGCTTCTACTGTAAAATTTCAAAATTTTTCAAATTCCTTATTTGAACAACTCTGCAGTTTGAACGAACTTAAAGAAAGTTATGTTTTAAAGGCTACAAATTTCGTTTGTATAATTTTATTATCACTCACAAGTTATGCTTTAAAAGATTTTAGGTTTTATTTATATAAATATTTGTATGCTTGTTATCTTACTGAGATTCTAAAAAATGCAGTTGGTACTTCATTGCAGATAGATTTTTATAAAGCTTTCAGCATTATTGTACTATACTTAGTTGTATTTGTAACTTAAACTATTTCTCATCTTTACTCATAGATTTTCCTTTGGTCTCCGGCAGGAATATTGTTATATAGAATAGCCCTAGAGCAGAAAATGCAGCACAGGCCCACATCGATGCTGATAGTCCAAAAGTATGCATGAATGGTGGAAATATTTTCAGCAAGATGAAGGTAAAAATGCTCAGCAATGACAAGCAAATGGATGATGCTTTCGAACGAATCTGTATTAGAGAGGAAAAACATTTTTTTAAAATATTTATAGAGTAAAGGTAGTATATCAAGTAAAAAAGTACTATTCTTATAGGTATTGCAACTTTATTTTTAAATATTCAGAAATCACTTAATCACAGCGCAGTCACTGAATTTTATGACTGAGACACGAATTATCTCTTCCCAACCCTAGCATTGAATTGGTTAAGAACGCGGTCAACGCTTGTAAGAACGCTTCAGGCGATTCATCATGCTGCTGGTGTTGTAACAGCTTAAAAATTTCCTGAAGAGTTTCCAGGGAATCGGCAGAAGTGACACTCATTGGCCAGATATAGATGTGTTTCGACCCGAATGTCGTGGGAACGAATCGTCATGCTCTTTTCGTTTTGTCGCAAATTCTGTCGAGATCTTTAAATATTTTCCATGATCGTCTAGACTTTGTATTTTCTTATTTTTTTACCCGATGAATGCTTAAAACTTGCTTGTTCTTTGTTCTGTGCTGAGTTAGAGCGAGCTCCCTCGAGTTTTTGTTATTATTCCACATGCAATTCTACTAAAGGGCATACATATGTCCTATAAATGCTCCACCATTTGAGACAAACAAGAATCGATATGTTTAGCTTAGGCTGGGTTAAAGTTGTTGTACTAAAGAGAGGTACACTTATATATAGGTTTAGGTCCTTTGTGATACCGCTATGAACGATAACACCTAAGCTATAGCGAGAAACGTTGCGTACCAAGAGAAAGGTTTCGCAGGCGGCTGATTTCGGTCTCGGAGAGCTTCTACTGACTGATTAAACAGTGTGATTCCAGATGTTTAAGCCGCAGTCTTGGACAGTTTAAAAGGAAGTGATTTCATCACGTTTTCTCCAAGCGGCTGCGACAGTGAAGATCCGGTGTGATATTTAGTCTCAGTACGCGAACTCCAATCGGACAGCGTCCTGTCGATTCACCGACCAGACTTGAGAGTTGCGGCTTCGTGAGCTTAAGGGGACCGCTTCCGGCCTGTACTCGACTAAATAGACCTTGGAGGGACATATTTTAAGGCTTAGGCTCAGCGCTTGCTGAGCTTTCACGATGCCCATCTATTCATTAGTTGTTCACAAGTAGTCGAAAGTACCACTCCTCATGATGAAACGGCACACGTCTTTTCTGATTAGCTCATCCGCCACTCTTTTTCCTGCAATATCACTGTGGTATGGAACTCATAAAAGTCCGACCAGTACTGCGCACAGAGATCTGGTGGTCTAAATTTGAGGTTGATAGAAAGTTTCCGCCAAAACAACAGTTCCCTGCAGCAATTCACGGAAAATTGTGCCAATGATCTAACTGAGGCCAATTTAGAAACACAGTAATCCATGTTATCAGGAATACAATAGAAGCCTCTTAGAAGATTAGAGTGTTCAGATCCTGAATCAGTTAAGCTCGGTAGCCCTAAGACTGCGGCTACAGTGGCTGTAGTGAAATAACAATATATAAAGTCGATAACGATGTTTAACCGTAGATTAGTGTTAACCAGGCTTTGAGTAGGGCCGTTTTAACCATGTCTGATTAACACTCATCCCAAGTTAAACATCGTTATCCAAGTTACCGACTCCATATAATATTGAGTCGGTAATGTCGATGACGATGTTAACCTAGGAATTAGTGTTAACCAGACTTGATGAAAACGACCCTGATTGGCAGTGTGGACGGGCAGTATGTTAAAATTGGCATTAAGAGCCACGTGCCCCCCATTGAGGACGGTCCGTTATACCCGCTCTAGCTTTGTGATAAGCGTAATCTTCTCTACTGCATTCCACGAGGCGATAAAACATTAAGGGCTTCAATATGGTTTCAGCGAGCCACGAAAGAGAGGCTCCACCTCACATTAAGTGACCCCTCCAGCAATAGAGCGCCACTGATGTCTTCTCCACTATTTTCACAAAGTAAGCTTCCTTTCAAGAATCAAGTTCAAGTCCTGGGCTCTATCAGAAATCGCCAGGCGAGCACCTCCAATTGTGGGAGTAGTCGAGCGGGGTATCTTATACTTCCTAGTGAACAGGACAAATCCCGTCCTGAGTTCACTATTCGCAGATCACCAAGACACCAGGTTCAAGTAGCCTCGAATCAGATTTTTCAAGTATATACCCCTCGCTAAAAGTGCATACGCATTAACGCAGCAGTCTTCCTTTTCCAACTTCCCTAGCAGGTCGTTTACGACCACAATCCAAAGAAGGGGCTGAGAGAATATGACATTGTGGTGTACCACTGCTCCCTTCCTTTGCGACAGCTTTACCACAGTGCATGCGGTATATAAATATATATATATATATATATATATGATCTTTCGTCAATTATGGAGACTCACGATTTTTGTTTCAATTTATGAATATACTATAGATATGTATGTAAAAAAAACTACGTAATTACCTTCGGAGGTAAAATTTCCACCAACACCACAAAAGTGACAGGTATTATTCCAATGTTAGCCGATAATATAATAAACGCCATAATGAGAAGTGGCAGCCAAGAGCGATAAGCTGATAGATCCGCACTAGTTTCCTCGGCAAAGAAAGCATACATACCAAACGCCGCCAAAAAGACTCCCATGGATGCTGCGGAAGCCATTAGCAAAATTTTCCGACCAAAACGATCGATTAGTATGATGGCAGTAATGGTACCAACAATTTGCACAACCCCTATAATGATGGTGTTTGTATTTGGATCTATATCTGTTTGAATCGCTACAAAAATGGTAGACGTGTAGTTAAGCAATGCAAAACCGCCTGTGAAGACATTAATCATCATCAGAATTATGCCCATAGAGAGTGCGCGCAAAGCGCGTTTAGTGACTGGAAAGAGATAAAGAAAAAAAAGAGAAAAACAAATTATGAATAATTTTAAATTTACATATGTATGTCAGCAAATTTAAGTGCTTACAGAAATCTCTCCATGTTACGACATCAGTTTGCGATTTTTGCGCCATTACCGCGTTTCGTAACTCCGAAAATTTCGTATTGAATTGCGCCAACTCCTGTTTGTTTTCAGCTTTGCAATTGTGATAGAATTTAAACGATTTTTCCGCTTCCTCTTCCTGTGCGCTATACAGCAGATATGACGGAGTCTCCGGGAAGAATGATTCAATCAGTAGAAAGATAAGTGGGAATAATATCACAATCATTGGTATAATGTGATATGGTACATGTGAGGAGAGTATGAAACCAGTCAACATGCCCGAGTTGAGAGTGAGTGTAAATAACGAGGTAAGACGTCCGCGAATGCTGTGGAATGAGGAAATGAGTTAAAAGTTTTATAAATAATAGCCAAACTAAAACAAACGACTTATGGTGCGTATGTTATGTTAAATACTAACGTTGGATCAACAATTTCTCCAATGAAGATCGGTATAACGATGTAAGTGCCACCACCAGTGATGCCAGCGCAGTAGCGTGCAGCATAGAGAAATTCAATCGATTTAGCGAAGTAAATGAGTAACCAAAAGCACTATAAAATTATTTGCAAAAATTAATATGTATATATATGTAAATATGTACACGCATATATATGTATATGTGCATACATAAAAGGGCATGAGTTAAAATTATATAACATAACCATGCATTATATGCCTGATAAGCAGGGCCGAAGTAAATAAGCAAGAAAAAATCCATTTTAAGCGCTTAGATAAGCACTAAAACATATTAGTAAATATGCTTGCAAATATGCGCAAAAAACAACAAAAAAGGTATACATATAAGTAAATTTTATGTTTTGGTTTTTATTCAGTTTATTTCAAGTATAGAAAAATTACAATGTACAATCATATACTGTAAATAATAGAGATCTGCGCTGGTCGTTTTAATTTTCTATTCTCCATTTGAGATAAATTGTTTTCAGTCTCTTCAATATCACCAATGCCTTCCCGGAGAGAAAAACCATTGGGTTTAAATTTTTGTATCCAAGCCGAAATGCAATTAAAGTTACGAGTTAATAAAAACCAAATCTGTTTTTAACCGACTTCCAAAAAAGGAGGAAGTTATCAGTTCGTCGGAATATTTTTTTTTTTTTTTTTTTGTGTGTATGTTACCGCATAACTTTGGACCGCGTCAACCGATTTCGATAATTCTTTTTGCATCGAAAAGGTAGTGTCTCAGAGGTGGTCCCATACTAATCTCGTTAAGATCCGATCAGCGGATCATGAGATATATATATATATATATTTTTTTATATGGGAGTTGAAGTCGGTTTTTTTTTGCTAAAAATTACTAGTTTATATTAGTACTAGCAGACCCGGCGAACTTCGTTCCGCCCAAAATTAATTTTTGTATTGAAACATTTTGGTCCAACATTTTCACCAACAGTTCACGTTCATGATTTTCAGTGACGCATTTACATATCTTCTAATATTAAGGTTTGGTTTTTGTCACAAGGCGTATTTCCATTGCGGTCTTAAAAAACCATCAAAAGTGTATATGCATACAAAGATACGTAATAGTTTCAGTGCGTTTGAAAGGCGCCACGCCCCCTTTTTAAATGGCCCCGATTTTCTCTAAGAGTATGGGATTGAATTCAATATCTCTATACCATGATCGAGTAGAGTACTATGAACATTTACGGAGATATGCAGTATGAAAAATTCGGTTTTTATGTGAGGTGCCACGTCCTTTTTTTCCAATAGCTCCAATTTTTCGTCATGACCATGTGATTGATTTATATCTCCATATTAAATTTCCGTACTCTAACAAGAACACTACCAGAGATAAGCAATATGAAAAATTCGGTTAGTATGGGAGGTGCCACGCCCCTTGTACCCAGCGGTATGAAATATACTTTACATCCGATTCTCATACCTACCATATATAGATACACACAAATTTTCATAAAGATCGGCCGAGCCGTTTAGGAGGAGTTCGACCACTAACACCGTGACACGAGATTTTTATATATTAGATTTGTAAACATTTCTTTAGTTCTATGAATAAAAAACGCCCAATAAATGGTAAAGAAAAATTTCTTGAGTCAAAAAGTTAGACAGCAGACTGTAAAATATCAGATGTCAAAACTCCTTGGACATTACTATTCACATACACACACACGAAATAATAGCAATTTTTTTTCTTGACCGTTTTCTTAAAAGGTCCGTACTTAGCTTTATACATTGAAATAACCAAAATAAGCATTATCGTTAAAATTAAGCTTGGAAACCCTGAATAAGCAAAATAAGCAATTCCAAGCAAAAGCTTAAACTTTTCGGCCCTGGTGATAAGTAATGTAATGCATTTCTTATGAGTTTTAAATTCCATTACTGTTTAATATTCTAATATATGTATCCAAGAATTCCCAAAAATTTCATACTAAATCACATAAATTTTTCGATGCGAGCTAATGTAAAATTGAATGCCCCACTTTTCTTAGGCCATCGCCGTGAATTATCGGTTATTTTACTGATTATTTTTTCGATTACCATACATTACATTTTCCCACTGGAATTATTACAACATGCGCTGTTTTTCGTACTTACAATGTGTGGAATGGCAAGGCCATAAAGACAGGCTTTCCGACCGATGAGATCCAAAAGTAGTCCAAAAAGTATATTCCCCGTACAACCGCCGAGACATACAAGTGCACCTAGCCAGGAGCCCTCCTCCACGGAGGCGTTAAAGCCAAGCGGACTACCATCGGGCGATTGTAGCTTTGACAGCATCGGCGGGAACCAGCCGAGACCAATTCCATGGCAATATGTGATTATCGTTACTAAGTAGTTTGTGGAGATCCAAAAAGAATAAATTAAATAATTGGTATATATACTGATGTGTGTATTCATCGATATACTAAACATGTATTTACATGCATATATATATTTCCATTAGACTGGTACGAGCCGCTTTGGCGAAAGTTAAATGCTTGTAATTACCCCCCGTAGTGTGAGAGCTTTATTCCACTTGAGGGCGATTGCTCTTTCGTATCGCCTTACAGAGCAGCCACCGGATTTAAGGGCCGTAGCTTTTAATCATTATTTTATGGTTTTTATTTTTTTCGCTCAGAGATAATAATTATTATCGAATTTTATTTTTCCTCTTAAAAATAATGATTATATATAAAATGGAAAAGGCCATACAGCCACAACATACTGAAATTTTGACCTGAAAATTTGGGACGTAAAAGGAAGGGTCTCGCTACCTCTGAAACGGATACGTCAGAAATAACACTGGTATAGCTTTTGAGGTTTATAATGATCATTATTCTTAAGTGAATAAATAAAATTCAATAATAATTATTATCTTTGAGCGAAAAAATAAAAATCATATAATACATGTTTTAATCGAGAAAATAAAAATCAAGTAATAATAATTTCCTTTGAGCGAGAAAAATAAAACTCAAATATTAATTATTATTTTTTTAATTTTTATTGATTAAACTCGAAAAATAAAAAATCATTGTAAATTACAGTAGGACATACGAACACAAATAAATAAGTATTATTAAAATGGTTTGCAACTTCCTGCCGAGGGGCAACCGCTATTAGAAAAAAAACTTTTTCTTTTCTTTTTTTATGTAAGTCGGAACCTGAGTCTGAACCCAGGCGCTGCGGAATAGTAGCGCGCACTGCTAACCACTACACCACAGCGGCCGCCAATTCAGTAAAAAATGCGCTGTTTTATTCTCAAAAAATAGAAATGCATATTTTGAGAATGACAATGAAAGGGTTGAGTCATCAAGGTGTTGAAGTATGAAGATACTAAGTGAGTAATCTCCCTTAGATGTGCAAAAAATGCATTTCGAATAAAAATTTGCATTTTCTAAGCGGGTTAGGTATCTAAGCGGGGAATAAAATTCTAGATCTCTCTCGTTTGTAGTAGTTAAACGCTCGATTTTTCCCAAACCGGTTTCGAAATATGCCAAAACTACGATATTTTCGTAAATACTGTATCCAGTTTGTTGAACGGGGGAATTTGAAGTAGAAATTCGGAACAAAACACGATAACTGTGAAATTTTTGGAAAATGGGCGTGCCACCGCCCACATAAGAAGAAAGGCTGTATCTCAGTAGCCGCTTCACCAACCCGCTCCAAACTCGATGCGATCATTGCTTAGAGTGAAGCTAAGAAACCTCTTAAAAATGTCTGAAATCGGACAATAAACCCGCCGACCTCCCATATAATCTACATATAAGCTACCGAAGCTACTTTACTCAAAATCGACGTTTGCAATAATCTCCTAGCACTAAATGAGATTATCAAAAAATTTTTGAAAATGGGCGTGTTCTCTTCAAAATATTTTTGACATGACAATTTGCGTAAATCGGTTGACGTTGATGGTCACATAAAAAATTGCTTCCTTTTTCAGTAACCTCCGAACACAAATTTCGAAGGCAAATACACCGACATTAATTCAGATTTCCATTATTTTGTTCTCGTGAGTACTGTTTTAAACCTTCCGAATCTCCGAGTGTAGTGTGTTCAGTAATTGTCGTTACAGTGGTATTTTCTAACTAACGTAACGGTTAAAAATATATTCAAGCGGGGAAACCATTTAACCGGGTGAAAATATGCGGGGAAATTTATATGTATTCAGAATTATTATGAGTTTAATTTTTCCCGAACCGTTTCACTTTTCACTTTTGGTTTCCATGTATTTACTATGGGCCGATGACAAATTTTCGGGTGATTTTTTTTCGAATGAAACTCAGGATAAGGCTGATTTTGTATGATTATTTTTTTTTTACCGAGCAACTGATTCAAATAAGCCGAGGGTCTTTTAAGTGGGTCATTATTATTATTACTTATTAGTATGTCAGGTGTACTCGCGCAGCGACCTAAAAGATCTATTGTGCTAAACCCTAATTGTAGTCACTCCAACCTTAGGCTATTCAAGAAATTAAGCACATTGGAGGGTGCTGTGTGCCAAATATTGGATGGAGAAGATAATCGTTCCCCAAGGTGTATCAGTCTGCTATTCATGATACGCGGGCAGTCACACAAAATGTGCTCTGAGGTTTCCCCATGCCAGCCCACAGAACCTGCAGTCCGTCTCTACAGAAAACGCCATTTTGTTCAGATGGTACCTTAACTTGCAGTGTCCTGTCAGGTAGCCTGTAAGAGTTCTAAGATCCTCCCGGCTGAGTTCACTTAGTCTTTCAGAGTTCCTCCTGGTAGGAGTTATGATTTTTTTTTTGATTGTCTCATTCCTTTTGACTTACGCCAGTGGGCAGCAATCTGAGATTCCTCCCAACTCCTAACCAGTTCTGCAGTGTATCCTCTAGATGTAGCACAGAAAGGCTCGGAACCATGTTGCCTTCAAAACCTTCATGTTCATGCGTAACTCTATTATGGGCTCCTAGTATATTCAGAAGAGTTTTACAATTGTCCACAAGCCTTCAAAAGATAAGCGGGTAATATTGTACATTATATACTTCTTAGTATACTCTAGAGCGCAGTCAAGCTTAATCAGAGGATTCTTTTATATTCGGTGGCCCCTGCTAAAATATCCAGCATAAAATTTTAACCTTTTAACCCTCTATCTACCATTTTTAAAGGGTTTCTTAAAAAGAAGATAAATAATTAAATTTAAAAAAATTGCTCGCCAAATTTTACTCTAGGTCTATGAAGGCAAGAATTTTCTAAATTTTTTTTAAATTTACGTCCATTTGTTATGAATTAAAGCGCACTGGTATGGTATGGGAGAGTATTTTCAACTTCGAGGATGCCCTGTAAAATTTCCTGCTTATCACTTCTGTACAGCATTTTAACCCTCTAACTGCAATTGTATGTAAGTGAACTTCAATGAGCATCCTTAATTTTTCTAGGACTTAAGGGGTTTAAATGTTCTACCAAGACATTGTACACAGGCCTCTGAAAACAAGAATTGTTTTGTTTGTTTGGAAGTTATTATGTACAAAATATGTAATTGAATTTATGACCTAAACGTGTAAAATTTAATTTATATGTGATGAGGTGGAATCAAACAAAACAAAATCCTCGTTGGGTTTGACTTTCAGTTACAGTTTGAGCATTTATCGGCTGAGACAGTACAATGTCTGCTCCACAGTGGAATCTGTTTTCTCTGCTTAAAATAATAAAATCCAAAAGCTTCCATACAAAATATTGTCACAACTAAAAAATCTTCGTGTAGTTTCCGCGGCAGAAGAGAATAGGCTTGTTCATGTGAAAATTGTCCAGTAACTTGCCAGGAACTCTCCAGTAACTTCTTCTTCTTCTGCTCTCATGGAGAAAAATATCCAAAAAATTACGTAAGTTTCACTTACTTATGCATTTTGAGAGTAAATTTGAAAATGTAAATGCATCTTCTGAAAAATGCCGAATTCTCGAGTTGCAACAATATTTTAATAAACTTACTGTATGAATCTATTTCATGAGAAACAACAATCTAATGCATCTTATCAATAAGAACTTATCTATTGCTTTTTCTAAAAATCTCAGACCTTTTATTTAAATTTATTTGAAAAAAAAATCTAGTAAAAGGTCTGAATTTTTAAGAAAAAACAATTGCTTATTTTTTATTCATACAAAATAAGACGTTTTAACGGACTCGATGTGTTTACAGACTCAAATAAGAGTAACACTTTAAATGATTTAGCTGCGAGGCTGGCTTCAGTTACGCAAAACTAATCAAAACTATTCGCCAGCTTGGTTATCACTACATCACTTTAAACATGTTATGCCTTGATCTTAGCTTATGTACATAGCTAGTATACACAAAAATTACAAAATATTTGCTTTACCACTTGCTGCCGCCAATAATTGTGGGCGAAATTCACTGCGAAAAACGCCCTCTGAACTTTTGCACATATTGAACAACATGCTTGCGCTAATGCGGGCTCTTTCAGTTGTTTTTGTAAAACCAGTTTAAGTAACCACTAATTACTAACTTAAAGCATAAAACTTCTCTTAATCTACTAAAACACTGCGATGTAACTTAATGCAATTTCGACATGTTATCTCCATCACTGGTGGCTGCTAACTGACAGTTCACACTTTCGAAAACACAAACAAAATTGCCAAATA